ACCAGGGATTGAATTCACAACTGCATGCTTACAAGGCAGGTGCTTATGCCGCTGAGCTAAATCCCCAGTCCCTGTTTTTGTTTTCTTAATTTCATGTAAAAATTATGTTTTAAAATTCAAGGATGAAATGTTTAAGTAAAATTGTTAAAGTGGCTTATACTGTGAACCTTATACTCTGTGGATTCCAGTATTCATGGTACTAAAATTGACTCTTTACATTATAAAATTCCACATAAATCTGTTTTTTCAGAATATCCCAATATCCAGATCTCTATCAGCCATGTATCTACTCATTTTAAAATCAGTTGTTAGTTGTTGACTGCATCTATTTTAACCAAGGATTGTGAAATCTTTGTTTCTAAAATATTCTATTATGGTTTAAATTATAATTTTCTATTTATTGCATTTACTAGATGTTTGATTTAATTGACTTACACCCACAGCCAGGGAGGAGGTAGGATTCCTGTATCTTACTGGAGTGTGTATATAAAGGAACTTAGTATTGCAAATAATCCTGACATAATTCAGAAAAAAATAATACTCTGGAGTGTATGTATATACCCAGACATCCATATGGACCCTCTATATTTCAGGTTTTTCATGTTGAGATTCAACCAAGTGCAATGTTTTTTTTTTTTTTATTTGCATTTATACTAGGTATATAGAGAATTTTTTCCTTGACATAATAACTTATACAATAAAGAATAAAGACTATTTGCATGGCATTTACATTGTTTTAAGCACAATAGGTAATACACAGATGATTGAAAGAATATGGAAGTTTGTGCCCTAGTGACTCTACATAGAAGACTTGAACTCTGCAGATTTTCATATCCACGGGAGACCTAGAACTAATGAACACAAAGGAACAATTGTATTTATAGTGACCATATAGAAAAATGTATATTCAAAAAGTATATACAAGTATATAAAAACAATGGTATTGAAAATGAGTCAAAATATTACCATTTGGTCAATCTAGGTGGAATACACAATGGTTCTTTATATTGATTTGAAATTTCCTATAAATTTGAAACTATGAAAATTTTAAAAAGCTGCATTACAGGAAGGCATAATAAAAGATTAAACCATGGTTAATCATAATAGTAGACAATACTAAACAATAGGATAGTCATATTTTTTCAAAAGAAATGGAAATGAAAAAGTAACATTGTCATTTGAGCATAAGAAAAGCATATTTTAGACAGAGTATAAATTGCTAATATTGCATGAAGGTACTTGGGTACATGTATCTTAGCCATAAGAGAATATACACCTTTTGATCATTTCTGATGTGACAATTGCCTAAAAACAATAAAAATATTTTAAATATGTAGAATGTCCACTTTATATCACTGTTTCCAGTAGAAATTTCATTTTTCATTTCCAACTAAAAGTAGGTTAGATTAAACACAGTATATACATAATACACAGACAATAAAATGAAATTGAAAAAAATTGAAAATATTTCGTAAAAGTTTAAAATGCATTATATGAAAGGAGAACACAAAAGATTATATATGATAGATCCATAAATTAGTTTTAAATAAAAGTTTTAGTTGTACATGAGGAAAAGGAGAAATAAAGATTAATCATATAATTGGTAGGACAATTTCCTTAGAAACCTTGCTACAGAAGATACCTCTTGATGTGTAGTATGGAACCTTCCCAATCAATCTCAGTTAAGAGGCCAGTTTAAAAAATTCCTTCTAGGGCTTGGCATAAGTACCTGCCTGGCAAGCTCGAGGTCATTAGTTAGATCCCCGGAACCAAAAATAAATAAATAAATAATTCCTTCTAGATCTGCTGAACCCAAAGATCAGGGATGTCACTTGGGGATCTAGATTTCCAAGTGGCTGTCAGAATGACTCAGTGACTTGTGAATATACACTTTTTCTAAAAGTAGGACTCCAAGACACATCACGTTTTGAGAAGTGTTGATTTGAGCCAGTTAAGTAAATTCAGTTATAAACAAATAACCTTGTTCCTTGTATCTCTTTGTTTAAAAAAACCTGCTCTTTACCTTGGTTTTCAAACTTAATGAAATCAAGTTACGGTGTTTATATCCTTACTTTTATTGCTCTGTGTTTACACTTCCATGAAAATCTTGGTGCTTTATTTCCTTATAACTGGTGCCTTCTTTTTCACACTGGTTACATTTCGGAGTCTAATATTCCATATTTTTGCTGTCTATAAATCTATTTCTGGACCTAAAAGATTTATAAACTGTTATAACAAGAACAAACTCTCCATTACTTACCCTCTCTTGTTTCAAAAAAAATTCTATTATAGCCTGTACTGATGGCACTGCCTATAGAGGCCTCCATTTAAGTTGACAGCATATTATCAAAGCATTTTATTATTTAAACAACTGAGCCCACTTTGAATGTCTCTGCTGCAAAATTCATCTTCAAATACCTGCGACACCTGAGAATGTATTTCTAGTTCCTTAGCTCTAAGACATGTTGAGATATATCCTTATTAATAGTAATTCTCCTATCTTTCAGAACACTTAGTAGCATTCTACTTAGAAGTCTGTGGAGGATCTCAGAAAACCAAAATTTTATTTTGTACTAATTGCAGTTATTTCTTTCACCCGGGAAAAATAAATTTAAAAAATAGACAAAAGATATATTCAAATATCTATACATAAAACAAGTTTTATAATTATTGATTTTCAGGAGTATTAGAAAATAACTTTGATTTGAGGAAAATTACTTAAACCCTATGTGCCTAATTTCCTTCAGTTATAAAATAGAGCTAACAACATTATTCACTTCAAAGGTTGTTCTTGAATTTTAAATGAATTAATATATTCAAGGTGCATAGAACAGTTTTTGTAAATAGTAGTTATTACCAAACATTTTTATTACCATAATATATATTAGAAATAAAAAATAAGCTACAGTAAATATATATAATCATATATCACAGAATCATTAATACGTAATAATATCATGAAATCAAAACCAGAAAAATTGTAAGTCATTTGACCTCTGCTATGTAAAATGTTAATGGAATAAAGCAATTATAAACCTGCTTTGTGATTTGTAAAATACAGAAATATAATTTTCTGTGTAGTCTATATGTTTTCAGAAAATGCAGTGCTCTTGAAGATTAGGACCCTTTTGTGGCAAAACCAAATGTCTCTTATGTGGTTATGTTACAGTTTCCAATGTTCTTGAGAGCTAATATCAAGACAACAGCTAGCTCTGGTGGTGAATTACAATAAACTGAAAAACTAAAGTTTAGGTTAGTTTCCAGCTAATGGAAAATAAGCCTAGGTCAAGACCATAACAGTTATTCAGCCCCAAACTTCGGCATACCAGTTTGCAAATATGGGTAGTGTTAATGCTATGTCAAGAATAGTGCAGTATTTCATCAGTGTCACTTAGACTGAATACTCAAGGCTTAACAGCAGGCTCATTAACCAGCAAGGCCATAAGGGAATGGAATCATTCTTGCCTACTAACCCTGGGCAAGTTTACTGTGACCTCTGTCTCCCCACTGAGTGTGTGAAAAAATGACACCAGAGCGGGAAGGCAGCTGCTGCACGTTGAACCACAAAGGAAGAATTTTAAGTACACAGGAAGAAGAAATGCTTTAGGGATGAACAGACGCAATACTTCTAACAGTGTGGCATAGCTAGGAAAACATGATATAAGTTGAAATAAAGGAGTAGTAGCTAAAGGTGGTTCACTGAAATAAAAGTAGACCAAAAAGAAAATTTGTTGGGTTTGGTAATCAGCTGATGTTCCTGGCGAGTCAGTTTAAATATGAATTAAATACGCTTATAATAGATGTCTTAGCATTTTTAGACACAACACAAAATGATGTAGACAAATATACACTAAACTTCTGATTTCAACAACTACTAGTGGTAGAATATATAGTATCTCATTTTTATAAGCTTTAACTTCCTCATCTGAAAATTTAGTAATATTTTAAAAAATGACCTATGTAGTTTATAAATACATTATTATGGAAAAATATATACATAGTAAATGAATATATAATATGGAACATATTTATTGGAATAATTAAGACATTTCATGTAAATTGTTGGTTACAATGACCAGTCCAAGTTAGTATCACAACAAATGTCTGTTTTCATATTTGAATGTCTGAAAGTTTAACAAACTATTACATATTTAAAATGAACCTTCCTACAAATATATGACTGAAGAGACCAAAGGTGAAAAATTTAGAAGCAAAGTTATTTATAAGAGATTAAGAATGAAACTGATTTGAGAAATCAGGCATTAGAGTTTATTGTTTTTATTTAATTTTCCTTAATACATACTTTTAAGAAAGATAATTGTGAAAGATATGAATACATTATTCATAGAACATGCACTATCAAGTGATAAAGAAGTCTTTTCTATGGAGTTGGAAGATATTTAATTGTGTTTTACTTATTTTGTTTGGAAAACACTGGCTTTTAATTTATATATATATATATATATATATATATATATATATATATACTATATGACTCCCTGTAATACCCCTGAAGAGTAAATTATCAAAACAGTGAATTTTGTATGACTTCAAAACAGAGTTTAACAGGCACTACATATCTGAGATATTCACTTAGTTAATACTGGGATGACAACCTTGTCTTTGCATAGCTTATGTACAGAGAGATTTTGTTTCCTTTCTCTTTTGCGACACTTTACACAATTTCACAGATTGTCATTATAACAGATTTAAGTAATATAATTTCTTAGAACATTGTGTACGTCATTAAATCTTGATAATCCTAAGAAAAGTAGAAAAATTTGGAAGCTCTGATATTAAAACCTGTACATTTTCTGTTAAAGGAGCTTCTATATCTTCTATTTTTCTTTATCCAAAAAAGAGTATCTGTGGTTGTAAAGAAAGATCCGGTAATACTTTTGCAAATGAGATTACTACTGCATTTATAGCATTAGCCTCTAAACAGATGTCAGAAAGTAAAGATTGGCTGCTTCTAGATCAAGTTGCTGCTGCCAAGTCTCGCGAGCTTTGTCAGTAACAGTTGATTGTAATGTCAGAGCAGTCCAATTTACAGGCTGGAGTAACAGCTGCAGCCTGCAGTTCCCTGAAGTATTACATGATTTCCACTCTTCGCAAACTTTATCATCTTTTTAGGCAGAAAGTCTGGTAAGTTGCTCTGAATTTATCCCTTTGTGTATAGCTGCAAGTTACTGTGAAGCTCGTTCTGTGGAAGGACTGTGATTGCTTCATGTGTTTTGTTGTTGTCCCTTTGGGGCTGTGGGGAGCAGTCAATGACGCCTGAAAACAGGACAGATGAAGCAGAAGAACAGGCACCTGAATCAGAGCATTCTATTTCTCTGGGAACTAAGATTCAGCGCGTGGAAAGGCTGAAAAGAGAAACTCTGCTTTGCATAAAGGAAATAGCACTTGTGAAGTCCGTTTCCACTAGAGTACATGCTGTTTGCAAGCTCCCTGAGGAATAACGCTTTATATTGCTTTATCTTTAAACGCACTGATTAGTGATTCTTTTCTTTAAAAAGTAACAAAAGTAATCTTTGGCCAGGCTTCATCTATTTCTTTTCTTTTCTTCTTCTTTTTTTTTTTTTTTTTTTTTAGGTAGTTTAAAATTAATAGATCTCCAATTGATTATTTGAAGGTGTACTTTCTCAATTAACTTGTTTTTATCTGAAACTTTCGGAAATCAATTGGCAAATGGAAGGTAAAAGTTTCCTTTAAGTAAAAGGCAAATCTACTCACTGATTTGATTTACAGACTTTTCTCTTTTGCCCCATTTATCCTTTGTATTTTCACAGGTGTGTTTAAACTTTGTTCCTCTCATAAGATCTTGTAAATCTACCATTATTTTTATGATATCAGTTCCAGTGTAAACATGGGGTTAATCATTAAAAATATAATATATGCAAGATAGAAAGTTGAACAAAATTATTTCATTGCTTAGATTTCTATTTGTAATATATAGTTTATTATATGAATTCTTTTTCGTTTTTATGAATATATTCAGGAGTTTCTATCAATAATAGGAAAATCCCACTATAAGCTAGTAGTTATGATAAATCAACTATATTTTATTTATATAAATATTACTTTACTTAAGGATGATCATTATCTTTTAAAGTACGGATTAATACTTGGTATGATGATGTTTCAAGTTCTCTGTAGGTAACAAATAGCTTGGCTTTTTAGAACTGAATTATAGTTTCTAGTTGGATTTTTAAAGCTCTGTTTTATTTTCTGGGATTTTGCATTTTTGCTAATATGCATTGTCCCACTTCATATATTTTAAAAACTTAATGACAACACTATATATCATTTTTGTAAAAGTTAAAGTAATAGTATTTTAACAACTCGCATCTGATTTACAAGTTTAGTTCATAATCTATGTGTTGCTAATAATGATATATATAAACTATATATTACCTTTGTTTTGTAGATTTTGTAAAATCAGCTCATTTTTACCAAATCTTTCCTGTCACAGAGGAATATAATTGAATATGTAACATTCTGAAAACACATTCTAAAAAACTTGTTAGATCTAAATCTGAAAACATATTCTAAAGAGTACTCACTAAATTGCGTCCAAATTTATTAGACAGTAAAAGTTTATGAATTTTTCTCGTAATTGAGGACAGATACAGATCTTGTTTCTCATATGCAATGTAAAATTTTTCAGTACACAATCTCCTGGTGCCTAAAGGATATTTGAGGGATCCTGAAAGACAGTATCACAGTCTGTTTATAAACAGACTTCCTCAATTGCCCACTTCACTTAGGCTACAACAAAATAAGGTTTTTAGGTTGAGTATAAAGACTTACTTGCTTAAATTTAATCAGATACATTTTAGTATTGCTCACTGTAGATTGTATAAACATCATCTTTCCCAAATACATTGTATTGCTTTCAAATAGAATGTATTTTAATTGAAACTTCTTTGGATACATGAAAATTACCTTATGTCCAAAGAATACTTTTTATGGGTATTTTATGTGGTCATTGGCTTGTCTATTATTTTGCATATTTGGTTGATATTCAATTACGGTGAATAAATCATAAATAGTTCTTTATACCAGTCACTGGATCACATCTATCTTTTATAATATAAAATTGTATATTGTTAGATTTCACAAAGGAATTTTGACACTTAATTGTTGTGGGGCTGGAGAGGAAGAGTACTGGGGACTGAACTCAGAGCCCTCACACTGAGCTATATCACCAAATCTTACAATTTTTTTCTTTTTTGTCTTTGTTTTTGATTTTTGAGTTGGGCTTTCACTAAGTCTCTAAATTGCCCACACTGGGCTTGGAGTCATGTTTTTCCTGTTTCACGTTCTAGAATTCTGTGATTATATGAAAGAAAAACTTTCAAACTATATTTAAAATCCAAAATGAACCTTTTCATTTTTTTCTTAAAAGTTACACTTCTAAAGCTTTACAAATTCCCAAATATTAGCATTAAATTTTTGTGTACTGGAGCCATTTATGCACTTGAAATTCATTGTCCTTCAGGGCTTGCATTCATTTACTTTGCCATTCCAAACAAAACTCACATCTTTGTTTCAAGTATTAAGTGCTCCTTCAATAAGTTAATCGATTATATTCATACTTCAGTTGTATATGGAGAAAAATTTGCCCATTTTTATGAGAAACATGATAGGTACTCACAGAACTTAATGTTTAATGACAGTAGTCAGGTGTACCAAAATTCATTGGACAAGCAGTAAGTTTTATTGTGTTTAATTATTATTAAATATAAAATGCCATTTTATTTTATTTTTAATATTTGATTGTTTAATCACTATATATGTATCTATTCAATGGAAAAACTTCAGTACCATGTGTTAGAAGATACAACAACTAACTTTGACAAAAGCGAAATGGATGCTTTTTAAATAAAGTGCTACTGGCAGATGTAAAAATCTTAGAGTACACTGAGCCTGTGTATAGGTGCAAGTTTTCACATCATGTGAAGATTTACTAGTACAGTACATAAGGATCTTCAACAGATGCTATATGAATTGGAAGTACATTATCATCCTTTGGTAAATACATACTTATCATGATTGTAATGCTATCAATTACAAGGAAAAAGGGCGTGGATGTCACTGTTGAAAAAGCAATGACTTTAAATCATATAATAGCGCCATGTAAAATCTTGATCTACTTGGAACAGAATAAATAAAAACATTAAAAATATATGTGAATAAAATTAAGTAACATGAGAATGACTGTGCACACTTTTAGATGCTGAAAAATAAAAAATAAAATTACCTTATTTACTAATTGTACACAAAGCAATATATCTTGTAGAAAGTATAATTGCTTTGCAATAATATTGTTAAACTTCTTATAGAAAAAAATTAAAATTTTCAGACAGAAAAGCTATCAGCACTAAGGGAAACTAATATTTAAGTAAAATTAATATTTAAGTTTATAAAGAGGGAAATAAGGAAAAGAAACACAGTGTCTGTGTTGGCCTTGTGAGGACACTGGCTGAGCCAGGCAGAAGTGAGGGACTAGGTCAAGGAGGCGGAAGCAGAGGGTTTATTAATGCAGCTTGGGGTGAACCAGCTCTGCACCTTATTCCCTGGGCAAAGCAAGCTTTCAGAAAGAGGACAGCTGACCAAACAGTACTTGGTGGTTCTCCAAAGGTCCATTCAAATTACTTAAAGTAATGTGTTTAGTAACTTTCAGTGAAAAAAGAAAGAATAAAAAGGACTATAGTAATAGTGTACCTGACTGTTGTAAAAAATATTAAATTACTTTAGTGTCAGGTGAGCAGAATCTTTAGATTATTAATACTACAGACTATTTCATTCTTAGTGTTTACAACACAAAAATTACATTGATCATAATTACACTACTTAAATGTGATACATAAAGGAAGTGTTAGAACATTGTGCCTTTGAATAGTATTTATACCAAGTCAGAGAATATAAAAAATAATTTGTGATTTGACTTAAAAACAATGTTCGTTTTTATAACAATCATAAAGTTATATTGCTCATGATTTTGAGATTGCTAGAATAATATATAGCTTTAAATACAGTCAATACAAATTTAGATGTAGCCCAAATGCCATACCCCATGTTTAGTTTATTCAGACATTTGTTGAAATAAAAAAATACTTTTTGATAACTATTGCTCTCAAGAACAGCAGTGAACAGGACTGATTTAAATTAGTTATTCTTGGTCTAAGAAAATAGTTACTAGGCTAGCTCCTTATATTCTGAATCCTAAAGAAATCTAAAACAAAGAACAGATCAATGCAAATGTACAGTGCATTGGAATTAGTTTCTTGGTCACATCGGCTGGATTTACCATTATTTCATCAGAAAAAATAAAAGGATTATTTTGTACCTTAGAGAAATTTGGTTATTATTACGTGGACATGAATCAGTACTGACAATTGAGTATGTTAATTGTGTTTCTCACAGTTATATAAAGATAACAGTTCCCTGAAATGATATTTGGTATACATTTATAATCCCTGTATCACATGGCATTTCAGAACACACTTTTTATGGAAAACAAGCTCACTTCTGCAATATGAAATTTTGATAAAACTTTTATCTCTCCAAATTGTCTCTTCCTCATTAAACAAATATTAATTAACAAAATGCCAAACAGGTATTATTTTATAGTCCATAAATATTACTCTTGTTTTTTCCAATTATCTCAGTATTTTCCCAGCTGCAGTCTTTTGATTTCAGTCATTTTATCCATATCAAAATGGGACTGACACATGTAATCAATGGGCTATGCTTTAATCTACTAACAAATTTAAAATATTGTGTAGAATTGATGGCTTCTAAACCAGCATCTTCTTCCAGGCATCACAGTGCTTCCTCCTGTGACTGGAGGTCAGGCAGAGAAGGCCTTCATCCTTTTCCTGTATATGTCACCTGCTTTTGTCAATTTTAGGTCTCTTGACATATGCTTGTTTTTATGGAAACAAGTTTAATGTTTTTACAATTTTTAAGACACATTGGCATACAATATTTTTTCTGACATTCTATGAATAAATTCTCTAAACTCTCTTTTGTAGATAAACTAAGATTGCACAGAGGAAGAAATCACTAGGCAAAGGGACCGTGAACAGTATTATAGAACATTAAAGAACAGAGATAATTCTGTGGATCACAAACCACCCTGCCATCATATTTCAGAAAATACATATGTGTTTGTTTTCTCTGTTAACCAACGTAGAAGTTATATGTAACATAAGTATGCTGCATTTGATGTGAATGAGTATGGCACAAAATTAACATTATATATGACTGGGTCAAGCTTTCTGATTCAGATACAACATTTTCTTTTTAGAGATTTTATATTTCAAAAAAGAAATAACTTGTACTTTTCATTCTATTGATTCCTCTTCTAAATTAAAATCTGAAGTATCTTACTTATATTTTCTAAACCTGTGCAGGCCTTTTTAGTAGTAGCAGATGTATATAAGATTACTATCTACTATATTTTTATAAATTGTCAGCAATAATTTATAACACTATATGCATGAGGCTGATCAAACTTTCTACTTACCTTCCTCTTAGAAATCAATATGCAGACTAAACATGCAGTCACAAGTACCCCATTTACTTTGTGGTTTCTTCTGTTCTGCATGCTTGTCGAGAAATGTCATGCTGAAGAGGACATCATAGTTACAACCAAGACTGGAAAAGTCAGAGGAATGAACTTGCCAGTTCTCGGTGGCACAGTCACTGCCTTTCTTGGAATTCCCTACGCACAGCCACCAGTGGGTAGACTTCGATTTAAGAAGCCACAACCCCTGGACAAGTGGTCTGAAATTTGGAACGCCACAAAATATGCAAATTCTTGCCATCAAAACATAGATGAAAGCTTCCCAGGTTTCCATGGGTCAGAGATGTGGAATCCAAACACTGACCTCAGTGAAGATTGTTTATATCTTAATGTGTGGATTCCAGCACCAAAGCCAAAAAATGCTACTGTAATGATATGGATCTATGGTGGTGGCTTTCAAACTGGGACATCCTCTTTACACGTTTATGATGGAAAATTTCTGGCTCAGGTTGAGAGAGTTATTGTAGTTTCAATGAATTATAGAGTGGGTGCCCTAGGATTCTTAGCTTTACCAGGAAATTCTGAAGCTTCTGGAAACATGGGTTTATTTGACCAACAATTGGCTCTTCAGTGGGTCCAGAATAACATAGCAGCCTTTGGGGGAAATCCTGCAAGCGTCACTCTCTTTGGAGAAAGCGCAGGAGCAGCTTCGGTTGGGCTTCATTTGTTTTCTCCTAAAAGCCACCCTCTCTTCACCAGAGCCATTTTGCAAAGTGGGTCACCTAGTGCATCTTGGGCAGTAATGTCTCCTTATGAAGCAAAGAACAGAACATTGAGTTTGGCTAAATTTACTGGTTGTTTTAAAGACAATGAGACTGAGATGATAAAATGCCTTCAAAATAAAGATCCCCAAGAAATTCTTCGGAATGAACTATTTGTTCTCCCTTACGATACTCTCCTATCTGTAATTTTTGGTCCAACGGTAGATGGTGATTTTCTCACTGACATGCCAGAGACTTTACTCCAGCGTGGACAAGTTAAAAAAACTCAGATTTTGGTGGGTGTAAATAAAGATGAAGGCACAGCTTTTTTAGTATACAGGGTTCCTGGTTTCAGCAAAGATAATAACAGTATCATAAATAGAAGTCAGTTTCAACAAGGTTTAAAAATATGCTTTCCAGGAGCGAGTGAATTTGGCAGGGAATCAATCCTTTTCCACTATGCAGACTGGCTCGATGACCAGAGACCCGAAAACTACCGTGAGGCTTTGGATGATGTTGTAGGAGATTATAATTTCATATGCCCTTCCCTGGAGTTTGGCAAAAGGTTCTCAGATTTAGGAAGTCCTGCTTTTTTCTATTATTTTGAACACCGATCCTCTAAACTTCCTTGGCCTGAATGGATGGGAGTGATGCACGGCTATGAAATTGAATTTGTCTTTGGTTTACCTCTGGAAAGAAGAGTTAATTACACAAAAGCGGAAGAAATTTTGAGTAGATCCATAATGAAATACTGGGCAAATTTTGCAAAATATGGGTAAGTGCCATTTTTGTTAGTTTTTCTCTAGTTTTCTTTGTTTTGCTTAACTTTGTTTTATCTCTGGTGTAGACTTCATTAAAGCCATAGATATCTTTATTCTTTATTCTTGTATTTGGGCTTTTCTACAACAAACAGTAGATTCCAGTTAATAGGAAAATGTTATGAAAAATATTATGAAAAATATTTTCTGTTTTCTTAATATATTGCAAAATAGGACCGGGGATTTAGCTCAGTGACATAAGTGACCTAGCAAGCGTGAGGTCATGAGTTCTATCTACGGTACTAAAAATACATATATATATATGGATATATATATATATATATGGAAATAGATGATTGTCTTGAGCTATAAATTATTCTGACACTGCTTTTTGACCTGTGCATCTACAGCATTGTCACATATATGCAACGACAGAAATATATTTTCTCATCCTCATTAGACTGTTTTAACAGTGTCTGATACATGGAAAATCACATCTCTGTTCAGGAAGGGGAAAGATGGTCATGGAAGATACTTTCAGATTACAAAATTCACAGTATTGACTATTTTATCAGATTTTTCCAAATATAGATTTGTTAAGGACTCTAGGGTTACCTGTGTTTGACAAAACCTGTCAATGTCCTCTCTTTTAACTAAGCTGGTCTTACCTGAGGAATCTTACGGGTGACATTGGATAATCAGAGTCTATAAAACAACCTAGTCTCCTTCCTATGTTATAAATATGGTGATACTGTGTCTTCAAGAGTCAGAAGTAAATATATACAGTTCCTAACTTACAGAAATTTCACACTGCTTTTTCATTTTTTCAGTGGTGTAGAACTGACACCGTTCAGTAGGAACTGTTGTTTGCATATCTGATTTTATTCTTCCCCTGGGCTACCAATATGATACTCTCTCAGAATGCTGACCAGTGGGAGCAAGACACAGCTTCTAGCTGGACATGTGATGACAAGGGTAAATAGTGGCTACTCTGTTGAATGCTGTATTGCTAAGATGCAATTTATGGTAGTGTGCATAGGTTAAATACATTTTCAGAACATGGTAACTTAACACATATCAGGATATCATTTCATGATAAATCAGAAAGCACTTGAAATATATTTTTAAATATGTATAGGAGTATAAAAATAAAAACTATTTTTCACTGTATTTATATCCCTAAGTAAATTTTATACATTGCGGTATTTCCTATCCATAAGAATAATAAAATACAGAAATTCTAGAATCTATTTTAAAAAGCATCTGTGTTATTCATAAATTGATGAGTTAAATAATATGACTAGTGATTTTTTCTTTAATAATAAAAATTCTTTTATTCAGAATTCTTTATACTGTATGTTACTGCATGGTATTATTATTCTCAACTAGAAATCTTTACCCATTGAGTATCTCAATGCAAATAGAGATACATATCCACTGATTATTTATGTACTGAGGTGAAATTCTTTCACCAGCCATTAAGGAGCTTCTACAGTCTTGCTGTGTCCCTAGTTAGAAATAATGACTCCCCGACTTTTCTTCCCTATTTTGTATGATCCTACATGTGTCATCCGGCACTTCTTTACTTTCTACACTAACTGCTTTAGATCTGCTTTTTTGTATCACAGAACTGACTGTAACTTGTCTACAGCCTACCTTTCATTTGAAGCTGACCCTTTTAACTATACTAATTTAGCTTGAAACTGTTATTTTCGCAAATATTCATTAACATACTGAAAGGATGCATCATTATTAATAAGTACTTGATTACTGATTGGGCAAAAGCTGGTAGAAGTGTGATGGTTTCTTTTTTCAAAATATGGAGATTATTATATCATCATTAACTATGAAACATTTTCTTGCTTCCTTAACATTATCCTAAATTTCCATTTAGGGAAAAATTATCATTTTTATTTACTTAGGTGTATTATAATTGATTGTGTCTCTTATATCTGTCTAATGATTTTTTAAATCATTCAAATATACTTTTAACTTTTGATATAGCTCTAGAGATTATAAATTATTTTAAAAGAAATATTTTTTAAAATTACATCAATATTTACTAAAGGGTTTTATATTGTTATTTTGAAATTATCAAGAATTCTGTATTTTCTCATCTCACAGTGGAGAGCAGTAACAATATGTTGAATGCCTTTTTATGATACATAAAGGTGGACCAAAGAAAATTACTTTTAACATTTAGCAGAATAAATTGTTTCACTTAGTCAGACTCATATATTATTAACCTTTCAGTGGAAAATAAATTAAAATTGATTTTTCAGTTATAAATTATAAATTTATACAATAGAGATCATAAACTACAAAAGGTTAAAGTAAACTTCATAAATGGTGTAGTCACAAGATGTTACTTTAATAACATGGCTTTCCTTATAGTCAATATTTGCATGTCTAACATAGAAAATAATTCCTTTGTACTGATATTTTACTGGAAGGCAAACAAATGATAATCTTAATCAAATATCAATAAACGCAAAATCGACAGTTTTGAAAATCTATCCATGTCTGTCTGAACACAGACATGATGTTCCAACTCTGTAATACTCAAGTGTGGAAATTTCCTCCAACCTCCAACCCAGTTTTGAGAAATTAAATATTGTTTGGAGGTCATTTTCAGTGTTGCAACTGGGGCAAGATCTTACTAGCTGGGTAAAGGATAAGAATGTTTCTAAATATCATTTAATGCATAAGGCAGGGTCTCACCGCAAAAATAACTCATTCCAAAATGTCAGTAACACCAAGACTGAGGAACTGTGCTCCTCAGTACTTCCCATAATCCTCGAATTGGACATTAAGAAAGTCTGAATTTAGCTGTAATTTTGTTTCAGAAAAGTATGATTTCAATTTTTATTTCATTCAATATTCTAATTGATTCTTCTGAAATAGTTTAAATATGCTTAGTGATTAAGAACTTCATCGGAGTATAATTTATGTACAGTAAAATACACACATATTAGACACACAGTTTAATAAGTTTTAAGCAATGTGTACATAATATAGTTTCTTAGTTTCAGAAAAAATTCTTCAGTATTCAGTTCTCCTTTCCTCCTCATTCCCATTTTGACAAAATTCCTAGCTTATAGATTTGTTTTACCTTTTCTAAACATATATATCATTGCTGTGATGCAGTGTATGGTGCTGTATCACATATCTTTGCTCAGTATAATGTATTGCAATTTGTATGTGTTGTATCACTAGTTTATTAACAAACCAACTCACAGTAAATTGCTATTTCCTGTGGGTGATACCATAGTTCACTTAGTCATTCACATATAGATTATTTCCTGATTGGATATACTATAGATAAAGTTTCTATAAATATTTGCATATAATACTTTTAAATTACATTTATTGATACAGTTTAGATATACATATGATCACAGCCACCACAGGGAATTTGTACATGTTATATCTTAGTTCCTCTTCGTTTCCCATTTGCCTACCTTCTCTTTAACCTCTCTTCCCCTGATTATTTATAAAGCTTGGCCTTCATCTTCCTGTTTTATGTGATTTTTTTTCTTTTCCTTTCCATCCTCCCCATCCTGTTCCACTGTCCTCTTAAACAGTTACTTCCTATTTCAAAACATCTGTTATATTTTGATTATTATTTATATTTTTAACTTCTTAACTAGAGAGACAATGTGATATATACACAAGTGTCTGATTTATTTCACTTACAATATGGTCTCAAGGTGCATCATTTACCTAGAAATGTCTCGAGCTTATCCTCTTTTGTAACTGAATAGTACTACACACAATAATACATCTTTTTATCCATATCTCAGTTGATGTACATTTGGGTTGTTTGCAAGTTTTAGCTGTTACAAGCCATGCTCCTCTGAACATGGGTGTGCCTATATTGTTGTTGCATAACGTTTTCAATTCTTTTGGGAAAATAACAAGAAGTAGAATACCTGGATCAGATGGGACATTCAGTCCTAACTCTGATTCCCACAATGGTTGCACCAGTCTACACTCGCACAAAAGGGTTCCTATTCCCCCACAATCCTGACAGCATTATTATTGGTTGATTTGTTGATACCTATTCTTTCAGAGTGAGATAGAATTTCGTTTTGTATCGGTCAAGTGATCAGTAATGTTGAACATTTTTTTCATGTATATATTTGCTGTTTATATTTCTGAGAAGTGTCTATTCATTTTAGATACCCATTTGTGAACAAAGTCTTTAAATTTAGAAAGTCTAATATTTTTCAATTCTTTATATATTCCAGGTATTAATCTTTTGTCTGGAGAATAAATGGCTAAGATTTTTTCTCACTCTGTATGTTGACTTGTTACTCTATTGATAATTTCTCTGGCTGTGCAAAAGGTTTTTTTAACAAAATAAGAGCATAGTTGTTGATTCTTTGCAGTATTTCCTGTGCAGTCAGAGTTTTGTTCAATAATCTTTGCCTATACCTGTATCTTCAAGAGTTTTATCTATTCTTTATTCCAGTCAATTTGGTGTTTCCATTTTAACAGACCTTTAATAGTTCATTGATCGATTTTGAGTTAGTTTAGTGCATGGTGATATATAAACATGAGTCTAATTTTAGTTCTTGGAATGTGGAAATCTAGTTTTTCCAGCAGCATTTATTTAAAATGGCTATCTTCTTTCCTATGTATGTTAGACACCTTTGTCAAAAATGTGGTTAAGAATATTTGACATTGTTTCTGCCTCTCTAGTGTTTTGTTTGTTTTTGCTGTTTGTTTGTTTTTCAGGTTTTTTGTGAGAATCATGCTGTTTTAATTGAAGTTGCTTTATAGGATAATTTCAAATCAGGGATTGTGAGTCCCACTGCTAATCTGCCTTTGTTATCCAGACTGTTTTTGCCATTCTAAATCTCTCCATTCGAGTGAATTTTAAGAATGTTTTCTCTAGCTCTGTGGGGTATGCTAATGGTCTTTTGATAGATATTGCATGAAATCTGTATAACAATTTTGGAGATAAGCTCATTTTTACTATGTTGGCTCTCCCTACCAAGAGCTGGGGAATATT